TAACTGACTTTTCTCGGTGTGAGTTCTGTATCTTAACGTTGACAAATTGTATTAGTGGTCTGTGGGAAAATGTCCCTTGTGTTTGTGTGTGATCAAGAGTTAAGAAGGTTCCAACAAAGAAAAAAACATTTAATAGATTTCCAACAAATAAATCATCATTACGAAAGGAATGAATTATGTTTGTAAACCCAAATTATGAATGCCAGTCTATGGTGATTTAACATTTTGAGAAAGAGTGTTATGGTCATCGAACTATGCAAACAGAGAAATCAAACCCGTTTCGAGTTCTATTCCGGCAATTATTCAACAAATGTTTTACCGTTAAAATAAAAAAATGAAATGGGGCTTAACATCCTATTGTTCTGCTCCGACTGGGCTAATGAAGACGGGCATACGCCATGTAATGTTCTATGAGGGAAATTTTATATCGAATTCCATCGGTCAGGGGATCTTTTACGTGCACGCCAATGTGTACACGGGACCTCGATTTTTTGTCTCATGCTGTCCTTGTCATGCCCTCCGTCCTGCACCACTGACAAGGGGAATCCACAAGGAGCTAACACCGGGAGCGAACCCGCAACCACCATTCTAGCGAGCCAACGTCTTGCTCACTTATTAGCCTGTTAAAATCAGTTATTAACTAAGGCAAAATAGGTCTCATTACAACCTTGATTAATAGCTCTGCCATCGACTCCGCAATCTCTAAAAGTCAAATTGCGTGTATAACTATATGATTTATACTCTTCAAAAAAAAGTGGGGGATATTGAAATGCAAATACCTTCGCAGGTTGCGATATGATAAATAGCCATGGACATTTGACATGCTTTGAGAGTATGTTCACAGATAAAGAACTTATCATTGTCAAATTTGACACTTCAAGGAAGGGTTGATGAAAACTGCCGCGTGCTGGTTTATCTATCCATGTTTGCTTTTCTATCGGTTCTTGCATAAGATTTACTGTTTAGCGTATCTTTGCTTTATTGTGTTACGTTTAATTTCATCGGGAGACGTGTTCGTCGATGTCAACGTCAACGGACAACACTGCAAGAATTAGCCGTGGCACTGCAAGAGGAGTGGACCAGATTGCCCCAAATCGTGATTGGGCGGTTGATTAGGAGTATGCCAGGACGAATTGCTGAATGTCTAAGGATTGGTGGAGCAATTACTCATTATTAGGATAAAAAAAATCGAAAACGTCCATTTTCACTTTTGACGGTGTATCTCTTTGCGAGTGAACTGGGGTCGTTAGATAAGCCGCCCATATGAACTTTTTATGTTCATGTGTAGGCAATTGGCCAGTTATTAACATACACTGATGTCCGCAGTTTTGTATTGTTTCTGAATATCCCCTACTTTTTTTTAAAGAGTATAGTTATCTTAAAACTTTGAAATGCATTCTTAATTTGCAATTCACATTTCTAGTAGGAATATATTCATCTTACAAAAAAATAAAAGGGGCTAACATTACTAGTGTATTATCTGTATGTACAGGAACAATTGTAGATATTTCTTAGATTTGTAAAGTAGACCTTAAAATAGAGAATATACCAGAGTTTCTATTATTGGCGCCATTTATGCATAAATATTTCACATCTTTTGTATTTCCAATTACTGTAGGTGTGTTACTCGGGCTTTCTTTGAATGTATTCTGAACAGCAGGTCACCGAAATAAAATATTGATGTTAACCCTGTCATGCCCACACCATGAACCGAGCTTTGGAAATTTATGATAGTTTGGATTGTTTAAGGTTTACATGCAGTAAAAGATATCCCACTCCCAGTGTAAAATTTAGGACTGGACGACCTTGACCTTGATTTTCAACGTGTATCATATATGATACAGTAAACCAATATACGAAATCGTATTAAAACAATGTTTATTTGAATTAACAATGAATTTATCAAATTTTATTTCATTTCATTTTTAATACTTGATCATTTAAAAACAAACGCGTAACAAAAAGAAAACTCAACCCAAAAGTCAAAGTTGGACCAAAAATAAAATCATTTCATTGGCTGTGGTCTAAAGCAGGTTTAACAATGAAACTGTCTGAAACAGTTTCGGTCTTTGTTTGGACAAAGGGTAACTATGGTGGCTGATTGATATCACGTCGTAATGTCGTGGTGTCGACCTTCATAAGGCAACAACCCGACATCACGACATTTTAACACAACAATACATTTTCACCCGACACCACATTAAAAATGTCATAACGTCGAGTTAAAATATTGTATTGTTGGTTTAAAATGTCAGGTTGTCGTGTTATCAGCCATATTCCCTTCAATACTATGATTACACCAGAAGAATGCCCGGCTTCGCTCGGTGGTCATAACCCCGAAACCGGAAGTGATAGACTAACGCCACCTGGCCTTCGTTACTGCCCGGTCCGAGCTATTCCTATACCCCAAATTTCAGACTCGGGGCAGACCTAGTGTAGCCGCCAACCCCGAACAGACAGACAAACGACAGTCACAAATATTAGTATAGATAGATACACTGATCCTGGTGTTGGTCAAGAAAGTTCCCAGGGATTTTTCAGCTTGGTTTCTTCCTGTCAGTAGTGCAGGACTAAGGACCTGGCGAAGAACATTTCATTTCATTTTCCTACTTTTCTGCATCAATCGGACTATTGAAGATAGGAATATGCTATGCAAAGTGATATGACGGAAATTTTCAATGGATGATGGCATTTCTTCATCGAATTTCAACTGTGAAGGATTCTTTTATGTGCACGCCAGTCTGCACTTAGGAGCTTATTTTTTGTCTCATCTACACACTGTTCTTTGACATGTCGTGGTGTCGGGTTAAAATGTTATATTGTCGGGTTAAAATGTCGTGGTGTCGGGTTAAAATGTCGTGATGCTACTAGTTCTTCATCTGGTTCGTTGTCGGAAGTATCATCAACTTCATGTATTTGGAATTCTTCATCTTCGGATTCATCTGATTGGTCACTAACATCACTGTTGTCTGCATTTAATTGGTCAAGAAAATCGTTCACTGTGAAAAACCGGGACTAAGTCATCTGAAAGCAAACACATCTTATAATGTAGGTAACAAACAGATGCTTTAGCATGGCTCGAGGGTGGGGTTGGTGCATAAAACAGAAATAAAGCTTATGACCCTACTCTTTTTCGAATTCCAAATGCAAAAGGGTTATTTTACGTGCATGCCAATACGACCGCGGGATTTTGGTTTTTCGTCCGCCCCAAACGACTACAGAATGTTAATTGCCAGGCCATGGGCCCAGAACCAGGGACGAGGGGAGAAAACGGGGATCCCCATTTTTACGTCCCAACCAAGCGACTAGACACTGATCCTTGCCAGACTTTCGATTCTGCACCACGGACGGAAGGGGGGCTGGGTTTCTCGTCCCATCTAAATGACTAGACACAGATCCTAGTCAGGCCTTCTGCCCTTTATCAGGCCTTCCACGCTGTGCAACTGACAACGGGAAACCGTGGTGATCTCGGTTTTTCGGACCATCTAAACGACTAGACATTCTTCCTTGCAAGGCCTCCCGTACTGCACAAATGAGCCACTGTTTGTTGTAACATACAAACGACTAGACAATGTTTCATAATTTAGTCATGTTCACGTGGGCGGGTTGGCAGCAGACGAATTGATATATGTGCATGGTAGTGATACGAGGTTGGGGGGGGGGGGGGTACACGAATCAGGTCTCTGTAATACACACATATAAATGATATTACACAAAATACACAAATGACTGAATTCCAAGTCATTTCTGGCACTCTTTTAGCACATAATAAGAGCACTGCATTAAATTCTATACATCAATAAACTCTTGCTCAGACCCATTTATTTTTAAATGTATATTGCACTAATGAAAATATACATTTTCCTGCAACATTATAACAATATGTATATCATCTAGGTGTTCATATCTGACATGCTGGGTATTAAAGGGTTAATTCAAAGTCAAATGCAAAGTCACAAAGTAGTATAAGGGTACATATCCTTGTCGGGGAAGGACATCAAATAACTTGGTATACTAACGCAGGCTATTAGACTAAAGGGGTGGATTCTCATGCACCCCGATCTTACATCATTCTCCATACTCCCAATAATATGGATCTCTAGCATTATAATCGTCCTAATAAAATAAAAATGTTCGTGGGCTTAGCTGCTCTTCTCGCGACATTCGTTTTGCCATTCTGGCAATATCCCATTGGGTCTATGACCTTATCAATTAACATGTGTTTCGAAAAGAGTATCAAATGTTGTGACATATTATAATTGTTAATTCTAAATCGACTATAAAATAGTATCTATGCGTTTATTTTGATAGCTCTTTAAGTAAAGGTCGTTTATTGTTTTAAAAAACTGGTTGAATATTTGATGAAATATTATTTGCAATGGAATTAATCTGAAAGGTTAAATGGTTTCGCGCATTTCTGGGGGAGCGAGAGAGAGAGAGAGGAGGAGAGAGAGGGGGGTGTATTATAATGGCCTATTGACACAAACTAGGTCATTTCGGAACAAACATGGCGTATACTTAGTCAGCAATTCGCGTGGGCGTCTTTAACCATTGGAGAATTAACCCGCGAGCGAGATTAAGCATGCGTTTCTGTGGCTTTGTTTTTGTTTAAAACAGAATAAAACAGTATATTTTCAACTATTTTCTTAGGATCTAAATTATTCATGAGAAATGAGGAAATAAGAAAAGGGTTGCAATCTTTATTTTAAAACACCCACCTCCTTAGATTTGGTTAATAAAATATAAATTGTAATAATTGAATAGATTTTCTTTTCCTGGAGATGCTCTTCACACAAAAAACCTATTTCGATTTTTAGTTGTATAGACAACAATACGTCATTTGGTTTGCAAACAATAGGGCAATCATTCATTACGCCTTCTTGATTCCAACAACCATTGAAACCAAGCGTCAACTGATTTCTCGACCAATGATCGATCAGAGCATGTGAACTATTGTCAACTCCCATTTCTGGTAATTGAAAACGGCGGGATTTAATATCTATCGCCAACCTTTCTCTTATAAACTGGGGATATCGCTGCTTTGAAGGAGTTGTGTGTATACTAGCGAGAATACACGTGGTTGAGAAAGCAGCATAGTTCTAACTAAACGGGGTTTAACGACAGCAAGACAGCCACCACAACTTTCCAATACAAATTATAGTAACAAACAAGTTAGAAGAACTTAACAAGAGGTAAGGTCTTTGTTATAGAATACCTTAGGTACAATTAACTATTTTAAAATTATTTTGATAGCTAATTTTCATAGAGAAATTGATTTTAACTTTATATAACATAATTGAAGTTAGGTATTATGATCGATCTTGGTATAACAGCAATAAAGATATAGCGGTATCATATACGTATTCTTGCTAATACGATACACAGTTTGGAGATATTATACCAAATATCGGTGTTAATTAAAGCAACCTTTTGTTTAAAAAAAGAAGCGTAGTCTGTGCTGTTAGTCTAGCATATTAAAACTAAAGACTTTTTTAGTCTTTCAATACACTGAGTACTGGAAGAGAGTGTGTGGGTGGGTGGGGTAAGATTTGACAAGAAAGTGAGTTTCTTTGGCAGAATATTCTTTGCAGCAGACTTTTAACAGAAATCCCTTATACTGCAATGTAGAGCCCACGACCGATACATGGAATTGGCGTAGCTTCAAAAATTGCAAACTTAAGGGTATCGAGAAACATTCAAAGCCACAGGCGTTACCATTCTGAAATGCCCAACAGCATTTGATAACTCTGTGGGAATATTTCCAGTCGTTAGATTTCCGGATGGAAATTACTTCGTTATATGTCACACTGTGGTTTTCCTTTTGTTAGTACAGTTTAGTCATTTTCAACATCCTTAACATGCCTTTCTCTTCTAGTAGGCCTATGTATGAGCCGAGACATCAAGCATGCAGGACTGTTCCTTTTCTGCATGGTGCCCGTTCTGAAATCATAAGGTCTGCAACCTCTGGAATAGCTTGTTTGGCAATTGCCGATGATATTAAAAACAAATTTTCTCCATTAAATAGGATTTGACTACAAAATCACAAACGACATGCTTACGTTGAGTCCAAAATGTGGGACATTTTACTAAAAAAAAAGATTATTTGAATTCAATAATCCGATTTTAGTAGCCTTTTGATGAAGAAAAGCAGGACTTTCAACACCATTTCATTTGAATTCAATAATATGTGGCACGAAACGACCTAGTTGCGCTTGCGGTGTTGTTCTAACACTCTTGCGGTTTATGCTTGATAACATCGTCCGATAGTTGGCTCAGGATTAATCTTTTGACAGACTCTGAAAATGAGACTATTCCATAATTATTAAAATTAAAAGTATTGATCACAGGGCAATAATATTTGCAATTGCAATTTGTAATGTGTCTTGTCCATGTGTTTCAGTTTTATTGTAACATGTGGTGCGGCTCTCTTGCATGGTGATGCATTTCATAATCTTAAATATTTTATAGATATACCTAGCAAGTCTAAATCATCCGAAAAAAACAACTATTGGCATTGTCTTTTTCTTCTTAATATATAAAACTAACAAAAATACATACAGATTTGTCGTTTAAGTCAAGTGTTAATGTCATTTCCCTCGTGGAAATATATGTAAGCTGTACCAAGGGCATTACGTGTAATTTCATAGTGTTAGAAATAGTACATGAAATTCTAAAAGTCAAATTCTAATCTCTGGAAAGTAATTTACAGAGGGAAACAGCAAATAAAATTGGCGCATGCCACCCAATCTTCACCAGTCAGTAAATTAACTCGATAACTATTGTCATGTCGCCTGATTATAGGGCATTATTGGTACCCATGGCCGATTGGGTATTCCCTTATTAACACAATACATTAACCCGAAAGTTACATTTAGATAATAAAAGTTAATTATTGACAGCACAATATTGAAATAGCTAATCCGTTATTTGGTTGAGAGAGTGGCATGATACTGAACGTAGTTTAATACATCAAATAATTCATAAGAAAATAAAAATTCCATAATTTAATTGTATATCATTGACTCGGGTAAATGACTTCTACGACTATATAAGATCCAAACCTCGTTAACTTTTCGTTATCGTTATATCATATCGCCAACGCCAATTTAACAGAAGCTGGAAGTTGGATTTATTATTTAAACTCAAATTTGCTGTACATAATCATAACCATTGATTTGAAAGTTCAAAGCATTACAATTATTAAAAACGAGATTATCATTTTGACAAAGAATACGCCGCCGTATTCTGTTGTGTAGCAGCCTACACATTCTGGTCGCTGCATTTGTTCGATAGTTGAATAATCATTGTTCATGCTTTATGATGACAGTGTATACGTGCTGAAACATACATAATGCAAGAGCTAAATATGCCTATTGCAGGTATTTTTTAGACCTGAAATGTTATCTAAATTATTAATTAGACATTAATAAACTTACCCAGACAATAATCAACTCTAGATGTCATCGCTTGCGATATGTAGTGGATTGGAATACATTTTCTGAAAATAATTAAACGTAAAAATGAATAATCGGGACTTTAGTAATAATGATCGAGGCTAGCCTAAAATTCAAAAGCTAATATCTTGGTTCAGAGTGGTGAAATTTTCAGCATATTCTATTAACATTATCTATTTTGTCACTATATAGCGAGAACTGTCAACTCTTTATCTAATCTCCCATGATCCCCCTTTAAATAAATGTTAGAGTGTGTAGTCATATAAAATATAAATGAATAGGTGGACTTAATCTGCCATTTCCGCGGGGTTTATTTCTCTCAGTGCCTTGAACATGCACTGTGTGTTGTTAGGACAATATCAGTGCACTTGCATATTTCGAAGATAATTAACTACATGACGAATTATCGACATGGCACACTAAAACAACAACGTACAAGCATAAAGAGATAAAATTTAATGAAAGGGGATACCATTTCAGTAAACGCAACACTTTGAAAGTTTTGAGACAAAATGAAGATGCGGAGGTATGAGGAATGTTGACAGGGAAGAAAGGAATTTTAAAGTCCTTTCTTAAATGAGCGCTTGGGGCCCCAATTGTTAAAATACCATGATATAACACGAAAACATACCATGATATTATACAAGGGTACATGTTTTTTGAAGTGAAACAATTAAAAATAAACTTAGCATGCTTTTAAGAGTACCGATGTTGAAACTGCTTGTCTTGCACCGTTATTCGAGATACTCGTTTTCTAAGATAATATTTTTAAGGGTGATTACTCAAGTTATTAAATCTTTAAGTATGATGTTTATAATACCGATGGTCATCGTTGATGCCATCAAACAGTTGTCGCGTGACCGAATAATACAGTGGACATTTTAGATCACAATATCCAGATATGGAGTTCTATCTACGGGTGGTCAACATGAAGCTTATAGTAATGACAAGTAAATGGTATTGGTATAGAGGTAATGGTATTACTATACTACCTGTTGCGATTCTATTATAAAGATCGATTATAGAAAGATATTGCTATGACCACAGTTTGCTTGTTCACGGAATTATCTATATCACTGATACACTGGAATCTCCTCAATTAAATAGATGATTTCGATCCTTGGTTTATTTTCTTTTAGAACTTAAGTAAAACCGTTACGTTTTTAACTGAAGACCTAGCCGTTTTATGATTGAATATCTATTTTCTTTGAATTAGGTACAACATGCCCTAAGGAATGAAGTCGTAAATAACTGAGCAGCTGCAAATGTTCCCTCCCCATGAATCCAATTAGACAATTATAGTATAGTTATGACCAAATCAGAATTGTTAACGTGTATCTACTTTTGGACAACCCTCGCTTTCATCGGATATCCATTATTAGTTGTCGAGACTGCGTTACAGTTTTTATTTTCATCGTGCAACCATTGCCACAGCGTGCTTCTGATTAAATACTGTCTACCAAAAACCGTCATCATGAAGGCATTACATAATAGCTAAGACAAACATGGTTAAAGTATCATGTTAACTTCGGTTACGTCGCCATCGTCATCATTAAAAACAATATTTATGGACAAAATAGATTTTTAATATGTAATATGTCTTTGAAAAAAAAACCCCAACCCAAACAGATAACTACTATTAACAATCCATAGGGGCGTAAAGAATGTGGATTTAAAATTAATCACATCTACATGTATATTGGGTGGGGTGGGGTAATTTCTTTTTTGGGGTAGATTTGGCTATCTGTGGAATTAAAGCTAATGCAAACTTTTAGAAGTAAAAAAATATCGATTTCATTGGATTTTATAGGTTGAATTGTTTTGTCAGATAACAACCTATCTTCTATAGATGAAGTCGATTTTGTACAGCGCATGATTTGAACTCGGTGAGGTTCCGGGTTATTTATAGTTTGGATAACCCCGTTTAAAAAATTGCACCCTAAGGTCTCATCAAAACCAATTAAAAATACTTTAATGTATTTTAATTCAATGGTATGGTATTAATTTGAAACTTTTTGAATGAACCTTGGTGATTGTGAGGCTCTAAGCTGTACACACAGCTTGTTTAGCTAATGCCTAAATCCGGCGCTGATTTCGTATTCTACCGTCAACACGTAAAGTCATGATAAAACTAAAAGCCCACCTCCGCTTTTTTAAATTTTTATTGTATAGAGCTTACCATCACTAATCGAAATAGGACTCAGGCCAATGCTTTATTTTGACTTAAATCAAGGCGGTTTACCGCCTTTATGTCCTTTTGACTGTCTTTGTATTGTGTCTGATAATTACAAGTCTCATTGTTCAAACTTAATTGATTAAAAGTATCAAAAATTCTTTTGCCAAATAATTATGTCTGCCTGTTTAAACATATATTATGCAAGAGTTAAATTTGCCTATTGCAAGTCTTTATTTAGGCTTCAAATGTTATAGAAATTATTACTTAGAACGTTATTTACATGACAAGTTCAAAAACAACTCTGTACACCCTGAGATGGCTTGGATTTAAACAGTCGTCGATTTAAAATTAAATCAAGAAATGACCGACTAAGCTAATGTTTACCGTTAGTCAGTGACGTAACTACCGGAAACTTGTGATGAAGGGCCTGACAAGCGAGGGTTCCATAGCCATTGAGAATGTTACTTGATAATCGAAAATATGCGGGTGGAGTTATCGTCTGCCAATCAAACGATCGGCAATTCTCGTAGACGATGCGGACACAGTTGATGCCTATTTCTAG